CCCCTCACTGCCAGAGGATGAAGGCCAGACCAACCGCTGCCTCTGCCCAGCCAAGCCCCCAGCAGCCAGAGGGGAGAGAGCCAGCCCATCCCTCCCCACCCCTGGCAGCCAGAGGGAGAGAGCTGGGCCAGCTGCAGCCTCAGTTCAGCCCAAACCTGGCCCCGCCCCTCGGTGACTGGAGGTGGGAGAGCTGGGGCAGGCCAGGGTTGCTACACCTCGACCTGGCCTTCCCTGGCAGCTAGGGGGAGAGCCAGGGGGTAGGGTTGGCGAGCGTAGCAAGCAGGGGCCACTACCCTCTAGTACATTTTATTTTTGAATGCAGGTTTTTTGTACGTAATTCCACATTTCTAAGTTCAACTATTATGATCAAAAGATTGTTCTGCAGCATTTGTATTAAGTGAATAGAAAAAGGCTCTTGTTTTTTACAGTGCAAGTATTTGTAATGAAATATAAATGTAGAGTGAGCACTGTGCACTTTGTATTCTAATTGCAATAGATACATTTTAAAATGTGGTGTACACTCAAATATTGAAATCCATGTTATTCTATTACTGTTTGGCCACACAGTTAATCACAATTGTTTTAAATTGCCCAACCATCCCAATTTTGATGAAAAGGCACTTGTTAAATCACCATGAGGAAGGACCTATTTCTTTAGAGACCATGTTCGATCCACTTTATCTTTTACCACTTTACCATTCTACAGTCACATGCAGAAAACAGAAACACACTATTCCAGTATCATTTGCCGCACTGAGCCCTTCGGCTGCAGAACTTACACCGCTACCTTTATTTTGCCATGAAACATCAAGTCTAGTGGCTGTAGGACATGTTTCAGTGCGAGTAGATACAAGTCAGTGCTCATGTTTCTGGGGGAGAGGTGCTTGGTTAAGTCAGTGGAGCGGCAATGATTTATTCCAGCTGAGGATTCGACCCCACATGAATAATCTTTCTCCAGCAGCTTCCTCCTTGCCTGTGGTTACTACAAAAGCGTAGTGTTCTCCCCTCCTTGGATTGCATACAACTAACTTTTGACATTCTGGAGTCCAGCAAAGTTATAGGCCAAAACAGAACTCGTGTTTTCTCTCCTCTTACTTCAAGACTCAAGAGTGTATGTTACATCACTGGGAGAATGGAAGCAACGTGGAATTTGTAAAATATACAATTCCTGAATCTTTGTATTGCTATTTTTTGCAATGGCTCCCTATAAGCTCATGTTCACTTTTCTATTTCATAAAACAGCTGATCTTCTTTCTGAGTGCTGTATCAAAGCAAGGGGAAATTAAATTGTCTACATGTGAAATGGTCTGCGGGACGAGGACTTCATTGCTTACTACAGGAGAGATTTCTGTTTGATAAGAATGTGTAGAAAAGGAGTGTCTCTGGGCCATTAGTCATTTCCGGGTACCGGATAACTCTGTTTTCTCCATGTCGGTGCTGTATGATCCACAGGGATTATTTTCTTGATGATTCAGCCCCTTATCATATGTCTTCTGCAGTTTCTTTATGGAACCTTCAGTCTGTTTGTTCGGGTTCAAAGATGGTCTCTCTGGGACTCTTCAAATGTGGGTTGCAATGTGAAAGACAGGATCATTTGTTCATTAGGGAGGAATGAAAATCTCTGAAGGAAAAGTCAAGATCCCTCAGGCCACCAGCCTGAAACATTCAGCGAGCCAGCTGAAGACATGAGAGGATCAGTACATCCCAGAGGATGAGAACTGTGCGCTATTGCAGATGAAATTCCACTCTGCACTTAGATACATCACCAGGCTGCATTCACCCCATGGGCTCTGCTGGTGTTCAGAAGCAAGTTCTGCATTCCCTGATTCATGCCAGCTGATGATTTGAATTCGGGATACAGTAACTGATTACTTTTGAAATAAATTAGGTCTTCCAGAAAAGAACAAATCTCTCTACGCCTTCTGTCAGTTTTAAATCTCTGCTTAATGAGTATTCTAAACTAGAGCACCCGATAGGGGCTGATTTTGCATTCCCTGTTACTGGAATAGCTGTCTTAAATCCCATCCTAAGAGTAGCAAGAGGTTGGTGCAGCTTCACCTCGGGTGCTAAATCATGGCAGAGTTGAGAGGCCCCCACTGAGAAAGTTCTAACATCAGTGTCCTAGAACCTGGTTCCCATCAGCGTTTGTGCCCATTCAGTGCTGTCGCTGTGATGCACAGTAGGAAGTGGGGTCCTACTGATTATCTTGACTCTTATTTTGTACAGCAGCCACGTGTGACCTTAGTATGAAAGAGAGGCTGAAACGTCAAGAGGAAGATTCTCTGTACTAGAACCTTAGTCGAGCGAAAGGGACTGAAACGTCAAGAGGAAGATTCTCTGTACTAGAACCTTAGCCGAGTCCAAAGGCGAAAGCATAAAGCATTAGAATTAGCCCAGGGGTTGGCAGAATTCATGGTGAGGGGGAGAAGAGGGTTTCCTAAAATAATTTTTTCCCCTCCCTGCCTCTTTCTCTGCTCAAAATCCCTTAAAATGGGGAGTGTATTTTGTGTCTTGGACCTTTTCTATAGAACGCCATCACCCACCGACACACCTCCATGTATAATTTAAGCCAGAGCTTAGTTCTGACAGTTTGAGTACCAACTGAGTCAGAGAAATATGTCCTCCAGAGCACTGTTCCCCAGCAATTGCCAGAAAGGAGAGGGGGTTACCCAGAAGCACAAAGGATGTGGATCTGGAGTAGGCATTCTCCATTAAATGCTAATTCTCCCCCACTTTATAATTCTTATTTAGCCATCCACTTTGCTTCCTGAGCTGCACAGCTTGTGTCTCCTACACGCTTTCATCTTCTCCATGTAGGTTGGAAAGCTTTGCCACCACCAGATTCCACTGAGGTCTTAGGGAGCTCCTCATTTGGATTTTGGAGGAACAGTCATCCAGCATCCCCTCTGCTGAAGTTCAGATTCTCCATTCTCCAGTTTCTTCCTGGTTTCTCTTTGTAGATCAATTAGAGGAGACATTACAAAACCAAGGTCCTATCAGCTCTGCATGGATGCTAAACTTCCCCACAGGACCATAAGCCAGAGTAGGGGTTTGTGCTGCAGCTCTTGGCCAACATTTCTTCTGTTCTATTGTGCCCATCATCCATCTGACCGCTGTTTGCCCATCCCAGTGGTGGTTGCATTTTAATAATCAGTGTTTGTTCTCTCGTTCCCACTCTTACGTACAGAGAGAGAGACTTCCTTTCATTCGAAGTTCTTTACATATTTAATTATAATTTACAACTTACTTTAGAATGAAAACTCTTATCTACCTGGATACAGGGTTAGTGCTGCTGAAATTTGCTTGCGATGGCATTATAAAGGATGCTGCCGGGGGGTTTCTTCAACATAATTTCTTTTATGGAACTGCTTTAAAAAAATCCTCAGTAAGATTTAGTTACCTCATATAAGGCAAACAGGGTTTGTAGTTCGTGTTATGAGCGTGCATGTTTTTCTCCAAGAGAAACACAAAATATCTAAGAGGTTGAAAATCCGAGGGCTGTCATTCTGGGTGTACTGTGCAAGGACACAAGACACTGAGTAGGCTGGTGTGGCATTAAAAAAGTCCCACACCTAGGTGGTTGCGACTGACACCCTGACTGGCAATCCCAGCTGAGAGAGAAAGGACTGAATGGGCCACGGGATTGAACTATTTTCACACAAGAAGTGGTTCCTCCAGAGCACTGCTGCCTCCCTCCCCCACTTCCCCCAGAGCAAAATATCCTAGGAACTCCCCCAGCGAAGTGCTGTTCGGAGGTGCCAAAGATCCCCTGACTTTCACATTTCTGTGCAAAGAGCCAGATGCTGGAGACTTGTACAGGAGAAAAGTTAGGTGACGGGTTAGTCAGACTTGCTGAATCTTGCGAGTACACCTTCCATAGAGTGTTCAGAAAGCTAGAATTTTGATTTCCCCATCTTTACATAGGGAAAGCAACTAATTCCACAGGAAAATAGACACTTAAACTAAATCAAAATGACTTCAGTGCCTACAAAATCCACCTTCCACTGCATTTGAGATTCTATGATAAATAACTGTTATCCCATGTAACCCCTGCAAAATCAGTCCAATGACTTCCTCACATGAGATCACGCACTGTTATTAGTTGTCACTGGTGGAGAGGTTTATAGTTAAAATTGTGAGCACTTCCCATTTCAAGACCCCTCTTTTCAGTTGCTTATAACTGTGCCAACCTTTAACTGTTCAGATAGAGGCAAACAGGCAGTGTGGATGATTTCTGTCTAAAATGTTTTTAGGAAGCTTCTGTAAAAATGGTTGTCTAAAATATTTTTAGGAAGCTTCTGTAAAAATGGTTCAGCTCTACCCTAGGGAAGGGAAATCGATGTTAGATCATGCAAAATTCTTACACTCAGTTTAAGCCTTAAACCTTAATTCTTATAGTTTAAGCCTTGACCTGTCTAAGCCTTAGCACACATCAGGGAAGTGAGTGGGTCCCATTTACACTACTACGTGGACCAGCTGCAGCTGGGAATCCTGGTCTGGTTATTGTGGTAGTGCAGACGAGGTCGAGGGATTTTTCTCCCATTCAGGGTGCAAAGGGAGGATACTGGCCATTAATTGTCAGCCAGACATGGAAAGAGACAGGGCGGGGGAATGGGCAGGGGGTAAGGATGGTGGTTGTCCTTGCTGGAACTTCATTGACCTTTATTGCAGGGAGCTGCTGGGACCCAAATTCTGCAAAACAATATTATCTCAGCTTGCCCAGCATAGGAAGTCTGGAGAGCAAGTTCTTACCAGACAGAGGGGACTGTGGAGGGTGGGGAATTCAAAACAATCTAGGGCCAGCCTCTGGAAGCTGTGGATGGCAGACTGAGCACTGAAGTAAAGGTCAGGCGTCGGGCTCATCAGGTTTCTGAAGCAAAAAGGCTGAGAGACAAATTCCCCCCTTCCCCCCCAACAATCCCTTCTGAAATCTTTGTGAAGTGTGACTGGGCTGGGCTATGCCTCAGCTCCCAGCCCTTTTCCTGTGGGTGGGTGTTTGTGTGGCTGGTGAGGGAGAGAGTGTTCAGCTGCCCTCGCTGTTCTTGCCCATACAGGTGTGCACAAACTGAAGGAATGCCAGACTGAGTCACAGGCACCTCCCTTTCCCCCCTACCTGAGTTAAAATAAAACTGTCCCTTTCTGCTCCCTCCTGAAAAGGGATTCCACTGCAATTATTCTCACCTTCTCTCCTCCTCCCTGTACACCCCTGGTGAGAGAGCCAGGCAGAGGGAGTAACTCTTAAGAGAAACAAGAGGAACAGAAGTCGGTATTTGATCAAAAGGGCTAGAAATTCCTGCAAAGGTTTGTCAAGTTCATGAGCTGCCTGTCGTCCCTGAGGATTTAAAGGTGGAAACTGAATGGAAAAGAGAGAAAGGGGACAAAAACAATTAAACAGGCTAAGTTTGGAAGTCTGCTAGTGGCAGCGAAGCAGTGAAATTCCCCTTTTGCCTTCAGAAGAATTTCTTGGCTTGCTGTGTGGGTGACTGCTATTTGGATTGTTGCAGAGGATTTGGACTTTGAATCCGACACAGCGCTTAATGAGGTTTGTGGAATTAATTTATCAGTGTCCTTTAGTGTAGTGCTTGCTTTCTTTTTTTTGCTGTTGATTAGCAAAGGGAAGCAGTTAAATGGGGCACGGAGCTTCTCCCACAGGTAGGCACAGGACAGATTGAGGTGGTATGTTTATTGTATGTATCTGTGGGGTTTTTAACTTTATGTATTTTCATTCCTTTGTGCTGCTTGGAAATGGCACTATTTGCTTTGCAGAGTTGTGCAGTTTTCGGGGGGAGGAGGGGACTACTTTGTTAAAATATGTGAAGTGCTGTTATGCGATTAGCAAAAGTTGTCCCAGGTTTCTAAGGTTTATTCTCTTCATTCCACCTCTTTCTAGCCAGGAAAAGATGAACTGTGCCGAGAGAGCAGGCATAGGGAGCTTGCAACTAAGATGGCCCAAGGTGTTCAGGGCTGCAGGTCGGGTTTAGCCCATTATAAACACAGGGGCCATTTTGCAAAACGTGTACCTGCATCCAGCGTTTGCAGCTGAGCCAGTTAGAAAAGGGCCAACTATGAAATCCTGGTTCAGATTCAGAATCAGGGAGTTTGGTCTCATCTGAACTGCAGCTAGACCTCTGCTTTTTCTTGCTGGCAAATCTGACAGGGGGGACAGGGGAATAAGAGAGTCAGCATGACGGGAGGGGGCGGTGTGTCAGGCAGCTGAAGGATAAGGGTCTGTAGGGTGGGGTTTTGTGGGCATGGAGCTATATCGGAATTCCGAATCTTCCTGGTAGCAGCACAGCCCGGACTTGCAGTGAACTGTAGATGCTCACCTCAGCGATGCAGGCTCCTAGTTGCTGAGCCCCTTTGTGGGGAGATGGCTGGGGGAAGAGGGGCACTAGAAGGAGTGTACTTTTCCAAGAGGCATTCATTACACACTGGCCCAACTGGACAGGGGATCCCCATGGTGTAACATTAGCATTCGGGGGGTGGAATACCTCTTGGCATGGCCAATGAGTTATGGAGCATTTCAGAGAACA